GAGGGGGAGGGGGGGGGGGGGGGTCTTCACGTAGTCAGAGGCCGCTGCAGAAAAGTGGCCGGATTGCGCCTGTTACAAATGGGGTCCCAAACGCACTCTACCGCCCTATCCTTCAGTTAAACTAATGTCGACAACTCCGGAGAATGGGAAGAGTGAGGTCAGAACACAGATGAAAGAATTACATTTTTAATTATTATTTTCAGGAAAGAGGGAAGGGATAATGACTTGTTACAGATTAATAAATAGTAATTGACCATAAAACACAATAATTACCTCCATTCTATGGAATTAGCGTCTTTGAATGAGATTAATGAAGACTTAATTAGTGATTAGGATATCCCACAATACCAACAGGTTCCTCCGTTACCTCGCGCTGTCGGAGATCGCTTCCGGAAGGTTGTCCATGATACGTTCGCAATAGCACCCAACCTCTTGATGAGATTCCTCCATAAAGGACCCCAATACCTCCTAGGAAGGACATCCTTCCCAAACCCGCAAATCGTCTTGAAGTCGCAGTAAAATCGTTTCCCGGCAGCCGTAGGACTGTTTGGGGAGGAAGTTCGTCGGCTCCCATGACCATCGGGCCGCACCTAAGTAGGTCAAAATGCATTTACTCGCACACCGGTGTTGACCACAGGCGGCGAACCCCATCCACCCCATCCTCATCCCTCCATCGCAATCTTAGCTGAGATCAAATCGTCCTCCCAGTGACTGGAAACTTTGATCCTGATTTCCTTTCCGATTTTGCTTGAATCCGACGCGGATATCACATTCGTCAGCAAAAGCGTTGACCCCTCATCCTCGAAGCGGAGTGCGGAGAAAAAGTACTCGCCGCAGCCATCAAAATACAGAATCCACTTATGATACGCCCACACCGTCCGCCGGTGTGCGATTGTGATGACGGAGATACCCATATTCCGGCAGGTATCGTAAAACTGCTTTTCGGCATCCAAATCCACCAAACTGCTGCACTCATCCAAAATGGCGAATCGAGGGCCGTGGAAGAACAAACGAGCCATCGCCAGCCTCTGCTTCTCCCCCATCGACAGCAGGTCGGTGGATCCCGACAGCCGCGTATCCCATGATATCTTTGGATCGTCAAGAATATAATCCAGCCCGGACAGCTGTAGGTATTTATACAGGTCCGCCTCACTCACATTGGCGTTTTTTCGCTTCATGGGGTAGATTAACTGCTCAAACAGCGTCCCTTCATAAAGATAGGGCCGCTGCGGCATATAACTCAAGTGCTCCTTCCCAGGCCGGATGATGCGGCCTCCGTAAAGCGGCCATAGCTCGCCTAAAAGACGGAACGTCGAGGATTTGCCGCACCCATTCGGCCCCATTACCAACATATTCATCCCGGGCTTCACAAAAAACGAAAGCGATGGACATAGGGTTTCCCCATTCGGAAGAGTCAGCGGAACATTAATGAATTCAATGTGCTCCCCACGTACGATGCGACCACAGGTCTCGGGGAACGATGACTTTGAAATGCCGTTTTTAACCAACGCAGGGATTTTCCTGGCGACCGGGGAATAATACGTGAGGTCCTGCATCCAATCCACATTTTGCTCCACCGCCTCCAGATTTTCCATCAGGTAGGACAGACGTTGGGTGTACCCGTTGGTCACCAAAAAGAGCTTCACGCTGCTGAAAAAACGGTAAACGGACTTCGCGAGGATGTGATAGCTATAGCTGGTTTCGGAATAGATCGCCGTGAGGTCGGCGACCGACGCCTTCGGCCCGGCACGGAGGAGGGAGAGAAAACATACCACATATCCCAGTATTCGTGAGCCGTACAAAGTGTATACCCTCTCTAATATCGCAAAGCGCGTCTGCAGATAACACTCATACCGGTTGTGGTTCGCAATGTCAGACGCAAGGTGGGAAAGAATCTTCTTCCGATACTGAACCCCATTGCTCAAGCAAATCTCCTCCGCGTATGATAACGCTTCGTGATTGGATGAGCGGAATCGTGCTTCCTTCTCCATCCGTTGTTCAATCAATTCTTCCTGATTCGGCGCGTGATGGAGAAGCAGATGGAGGAACCCGGTGTAGTATACCCAGGTAAGGGCAGCCCCAGCATGGCCCATCTTCTTTCCCAGGAAATAGGAAAAAGTGATCACCTCGCACAAAGGCTGCGTTGTGGAAGTAAATAAACGCGCCAATAAAGCGGACCAGTTCTGGATATCCTTCGTGAGGTACTGATCGATGTGTTGGATCTCGTGAAGTCCGGCTAGACGAAAGAAAACTTTTCGGGTTAAGTAGCGGTGATGGAAGTATTTGGTTAGATTTTGACGAAAACGCAATTCCAGCATCTCCCGGAGGTAATCCAAGCTGGTGTCGAGAAGTGCCGCCGGAATGCAAGCCATAAAAAATAAAAGGATATCTCGGAAGAGGGCTCGCCTATTGCACTCAATCACCGTTCGGGCCAGGCGCCCCGTCATCTTTGTGATGCTTACCGATACCACCGTACGCAGAACCATAAAAATACTGAGGAGGAAAATAATGACCGTTTCTTTGGATCGCCGCGAAGGTATCGCAATAGATAATAAAGAAAGGAAATTTTTAATCGTACAAGACTGTGGAAAGGAAAGTATACGCCTTAGCAATTCGATGGGGTTTATAAAGGACACTCGCCCACGCTGATCGGTGGAAGACCGAGAAGACTTCGAAACTAATAAACGCCCTGAATCGGTTGTGTATCCAGCCACTAGAAGTCCAAGGGCCCCGCTTACCCAACCCACTAAAATGGGGTTCCGCAAACGTAATTTGGCGTATTCAGCCGCATAATCAGAAATTGTTGCCATGGTATTGACGCTAAGATAATTGATAGCTTGTACTATAATATTTACCTATATCAGAATAGTTTGTTTTATTGGTTTCAAAGACGTGTTAAGGAAATATAGACTATACAATATTTTATTTTATTATTATTAAAATCTACGTGTTAGATAGTCTTCTCTGTCGAACCTATTTTTTCTCGACAACGTAGCGTATTTTGTGTACCTAAATGAAAAGAGTGTTAGATCTCTCAATGCACCACAGAAATAGAAAAAAAATGCCAGAAGATTCTACCCTTTTCAACAAAAATGAAATTTATTAAAAAGGAGGAGAGATATTGGTGAAAAGAACCTTGACATGCCAAATCATATCATACTAAAGGATAAGATTGAAACTGATGGACATCTTTTCTCTTCAAGCATACCTTTTAACACGACACTAACCATTCTTTTATGGACTCATTTAAAAACAGTGGAGTCATCATAAAATGGAAAAAATCATATATATATATATATATATAAGCCTCCATGTAAGAAATTAATACCATGAAGTAATGATAATTACATTCCTATAATAATGCTCTTGGTTCTTCCTCTAATATTACCCTCTTAAATACTTGTTTAGATATTTACTATACGCAAACCTATCTCCACTTTCTGTAGGCAATCCATAAGTTCACCAGCCATAGGTTGGCATACGCTCCGAAGGTATGCAAATGAATCTCCATCTGTCCACAGGTAAATGACTTAACGCTACTCAAATAAATTGTATAACGATAATTATTAGTGTTAGAATAAAACAAATCGAGAAACACTTAAGACAATAACAGTGAAGTAAACTTCAATCGCACTCAGTCCCTTGATTGATATAGGGAGGGTAAGTCAATCTGAGGAGAAATTACAAATTCATGGAGGCCACTACATCTACTACACGATAGGCCTCAATCAACAGCCTTAACCGCCTCCTAAAAATAAGTGAGTTTTCAGAAACGTAAATAATTACAAAATAAACAAAATTCCACAAATCCATATCTTGTGTAAAACAAATAATACAGTTTGGATGGATTAAAATAATATATTAGACAAATTCGCCCATGGGACAGCGAATATGAATTTTAAAAAATCTTAAGATGCTTTTCAGCTTCCTTGAGATCTGCAAATAGCCAAGCATTAAATATTCATGACTTTATTCCTGAATATAATATCAAGTGAATAATAATGTTAATAAAGGCAAGATCATCTCCATTTTTTTTTTCAGCATGGGAACTTATCTATTCTTAACACGAGTTTGTGCTGTTCCCATAGCATTATCCTCATATTTATACAGCATTCAAGATCAAAATATATAATGAAAATACACATCTATCCCCATTCTCTATGCACTGAAGTGAAGAAACTAGCCAGAGCCGTTTGGGTGGCTCCTAATTTTCTTATTCTCTATATTACTCAATAACGTCTCCAGATGCTCTCGATAGATTTGGTTGTCTTTGTAAAGTTGCAGTAGCTCCCGATCAGACACCCCATTCGAAACCACTGGAAGAATTACATTCTGAAGGGAGGGGATGCCTTCAGACAAGATGTGACTCACAAATCCCTCCATAGCCACCGAGTTCACCGTGGCGTAGCTCATAAAAGGAAGCAACTGAGCCTCTTTTTCCTCATCTAATAGTTGATCAAGCAATTGGCTTCGGGTGGTCAAGAGCGCCCCAACCAAGCAATAACCTGATAGTTGCGAAAGGACTCGAGAAACCAATAGCAAGAGGGGTACCACACGGCCATCAATATGGGTTAACAAGCGTCTCGTAAGGGAAATTGCAGGTGGACCCTCATCGTCCCCCATCTGAGGTTGATCCCATGCGATTAAAAACCTCTTTACGGAAGTAGACTGATCGAAAAAGTCAACCTCTTGAGAAAACATCAAGAAGAGCTGAAGCAAAGATGAAGTAGAGATTAAATCCACGGGAGAAAGCCCATCCTCCTTCTTGTCGTTTAACTGAACGCAGCACGATAGTATGAGGCTCTGCTGAAATTCTGCCGAATCCCTGCAAAGCAAGTGGTAAAGCATAGTAATGGGGTCACGATCCTCATTAGGCGGTACAAAAGACGTTGATGAATCTTCACCCCGACTTTGAGAGTGGGATAGACTGGGTTTGACAGATTGAATCAACTGCTTTACGAGCTCCCACCGGCGCCATGCGGCATCCCGTGGATTGGCCTCCGCCTCGTAATCGGTTGTGCGGCCGAGCAGCAGAGAAAGACCCGCCACGGTGGCGGCCCACTTCGCCTCCAACGTCATTTCACCGCGGGAGAGGAGGCCGGATTGGAGCACCAACACCGCGAACAGCCCCGACGCCTTGGCTGCCTGCACCTCGGAGCAGTAGGCCGGGCTAGCCCGTCTCTGGGCCCGGTAGACGCCCCGCAATCGCAAGAGAAAACAATCCCAGAGGGCGAAAGACGGGGTGCCGGGCTGCGATAGGCCCATGGCCTGGGCCAGGTGGTGGCCCACGCCATAGAAATCCCCCCCCCAGGCCCCATCCCCTGGGGGCCTCGTGGGCAGGGCCGGCGCGTTGGGTGAGCGCGGCCACCACCTCGTCGAGATCCCAATACCGCCGCGGGGTCGGGGGAACGGCCATCCCGGCCTCGCCATCGTCTGGCCCTGTCGAATCAAACGCCAGCCATCGCACCGAAATCGGAGGCAGCCGCGATGGCGACCCCACGCGCTCCCCTTCAGTTGGTGGGGGCCGATCCGGAGGATCGCTCGCCATCCCCCCAACTATGCATTCACCGCAAGGCAACCGATCTTGAGCGTTGGGTAGTACACGGCTGTGTTTTATTCTGCAATACAACAAATCCATCTGCTTAGTCAGACTTGCGAGACATTGTTGAGTCTTGTGAAGCTCTTTGGGTAATATGGAAAAACGGCTGCCGTCATTGTCTTCCTCTCCATCAGCCGTTGGAGCACACTCGTCGAGTAAAGCAGATTCATCAGATCTGTCTTGCGTTTCAACAGAAATCCCCTCTATAGTATCTAATAATGCTTCCAGGGAAGTGGCTTTATCCTCAAGAGAGTTTACTTGTGATTGCAAGGGAGACAGGTCTAGCATCAATGTCAACGTCGTGGGCTCCGAAGAGGAACCGGGTGGCGGTCCATCAGACCTTTTCGCCTCCCTACCAACAAGCTCCGCTCCCTTCAGCTCCCGCAGTTCCGTAGTTAAGGCAGCCACGCGGGATCCGACATCCAAAGCTACTTGTCGAGCCACTTGCAGGTCTTTATGGAAGTCCGAAAACAATACGCAATAGAAGCCATTCAGATTTATTTGTCCGCACAACTCTATCAACTGCCGTTCCTCATGCTCAGCACTAACTAAAGCAGAGATATCCATGAGTCTTTGGAGTTCCACGATGGTGGGATGATCGGTGGAAAAATCCTCTGACGCGACAGCCTTCATTTCCTCCTGGCCTAAACATTCTTCTAGAAAGTCATGAGGTTGGTTTGGTGTTTTCGCGATGAGTTGTTCCTGACGCAGGGCTTCAAGCTCTTTCACAAGACTCAAACATTCGCTCTCCGCACTCGTAAGAAAACTTTGAGTTTCTTCTAACTTACATTGGAGTCGCTCGATTTGAGATGCGTGCGCCACCTCATCGGCCTCAGAAACTCTCTTTAGTTGTTCGACCTGCTCAGTCAACGCCTCCATCTCTTGTATAGCTTGCTGCCGAGAAGCCATCAGTTCCTTGGCTTCCAACGTTTTAGACTCAGCAAGATGCCTGAGTTCATAGCTAAGGTTTTGAATGTGCTCGTTTTGAATATCACAACATGACTGCTGCTTCACAAACTCAGCGTTAATTAATTCTATAACCTCTTTAAGAGACTCCTCTCTCTTTTCTGAAGCTTTTAAGTTCGCTTCTTTTTCTACTAACTGAGTATTCAGTGCCTCATTAGCCATCTGAAGCTTTTCAGCTATTTCTAATACTTTGGCACGGTTCTCAACAGCTTTGTCTTCGAGGGCTTTGACCCAGTCCAGTAAGCTTGCACCCGCTGACGTAAGAAATCCCATCGTCCGTGAAGAGGACATTAGGCATGGAAGTATATTTTCTAAGTGTTTCAGTATTCGAAAAACCTCCTCTTCTTTGAAATCAAGTATAGCTAGGTGGTTCGGTGAGCTATCATTTACTCCATCTTTCCCAATGCCCCACTCTTGGTTTGGCCAATCCTCTGGAGGTAGCGATGGTGACCCTTCCACATCCAATGGTGAATCCATGCCGAGAAGTAGTTCGGGGTAGCCGGTAGAAAGTTGATGAAATAAACGCAACAATGGTTCTATTGCACTAAACGGAACGCTCTTCAGCTGCACCCCTTGAGAAGTCTCACGAGAGTCGAGTAACACAGAACAGTGTGCATCATTATCCTGTACTTTTAAAGCCAACTGAGATGATGAAGGTGGACCCTGTGAATGCATTGAAACGCTTTTTTCCACCAACTGAGCCCCCAATGGAGTGGTGGCTAAGCCTTTACTATACCCAATGCACCGTTGTTTCAACTCATTAATGTGATTCTCATAATTTAAACACGTCCTCTCCAGATTGTGTTTTTCACGTATCAAGGCCTCAATTTGCCTATGTGCCCCCAATAACAAATGAGAGCCCCTGTGGTCAGTGTCGGATGTCTTGAGCGAAAGTGGGAATAAGGATAGGGTCTCGGAAGAGGCAATTGGGCAAGGCATCGCAGTGGCAAGCGTCATTGGCTCCATACCGCCGCAATCCTCCGGTGGCTTCCGCGATAAGTCATTATCATTAAGGCCCGACAAAGATCCCTCATTCCCTGTCAACGCTTCAGCTGTGTTGTCAAACCCTTCAAATACCTTCGATGCACACTTACTGCTTTGAGAATCCAACTGGTGCATGCGAGAGGAAACAATTGAAGAAAGAGAAGCCCTTAGAGAGTCGATGCGTTGAATAGTTTGTCCCCTCTGCCGCGTAAGTATGCTAAGAGGACGGGAGACGCCGTCTGGAATGTAGTTTCGCCCAAACACACTATGAGAAGAATGAACACCAATAGACATTGTTAAAGTTCTATGATAATATATATATGAGAATTAAAACTTCTCTTGCAAGATCTTTCAACTTTTGCGGTCCCTCGATTCGAGTGAACACTAATACAGTAAAGAGGGTTAAAGAAAATATAAAGATGCGCTTGAAAGAGTGATGGTTAATGCAAATATTTCTCAATAATGAAACCAAAAAAGGAGGTAAAACATCGTTTAGCATTGCAGGTTATCATTACTACTTCTAAAAGTGAGTAAATTTTTTTTAAAAAGGTAAAATATTAGATTCCACTAAATAAACACAAAAAAGTTATATATCGATATGACATTCTATTTTCCTCAATTAATGATTCCATGTTTCCTTTAAAGAATATATACTGATGAAATAAAGGAAAATAGTCCACATTACTTTATAGTTAAACTTTCATGCTATATTTAGTATTGCCCCACATTTTTAAATAAACTTTACAAATGTGCAACCGCTTTCCATAGAAGCAGTAATCAAATCCCATTGTGTACCGTTCTGCAGCAGATAATATACTCAAATGCATTGCACGATATGATAAGGTTGCGGCATAGATCATGCATAAAGATCATAAGTGACCTAATCTCCCTTGAATTCCAAACTAAAAATGCTTACTGTGCCTTTATAACTATAGTCTCGTATGCGGAGAACTGCTCATTAAAAACTGAAAGCTCCTTCTTGAGTTTCCGCACACCACAAACAATCTCTAAAGTGTTCAATGTGATACCTATGTTCATCAGAAGGTATAGCTCTGTGAAGAAGGGGATCGGGCTGAAATAGATTTCCCGCTCACACGCTGGTAGGAAATGAGTCCACCAAATGTTGCCGCCGTGTTATCCAGACCTCTCGGCATCCCATGGTAACCACGCTCCCCTACAAACGCATTCCTGTTAAGGGTTTTTCCGCTCAGCTTACGATTGGACAGTTCACTGAGAGCCCGGGACATGAAAACGATATCGCTGTCGAAGGCCCAGATCCCACTGCTCAGGCGCAAGGGGCTGTCCAGAAAGATCCGCAGGCCATCCGTGCTCGTGGCAATCCCCAGGTCTTTCAGCGCCAGTTGGTGAGCCTCTGCCTGCTCCCGGGGCCTCGTCTGAATCCGCCTGAGCATCACAGGATGTGCGTCCGGCCCCAACACCCTCAGTCGGCACTCCGTCTATTCATAAATGCCAACAATACCTTCGGCATCATGGGCCACGCAATGCGCAGCAAAAAGAATTCCTTTCCTGTAGCCCACATGTTTCGGTAAGGTGCACTCCTACACAGGACGTGACATGTGGGTTCGGTTGGAATTTGAGGTCAATAGGGCTAATGCCTGGAAAAGGATAAAAACAACGTGGAGGTTTATATTAATGCTTGTAATGGTTGTTGAAGTTAATATCGTGTGAATCGAAAAATGAATGCACAAATGTATGCTATTTTTAACCTGTAATAGGAATACAAAAAAATATATATAAATAAAAATAAAAAGGAGCCTCAAGTGATATATTTTTGAGTCTAATTACATGCAGATATTTATTTAAAAAATTCCATTCACATAAAGCACATATTGGTGCAAATTCATTAAAATCTGTTTGTTACCCGTATGAGTATATACGATGAGTGAAATAAAAGAGTCACAAACAGTAAACGTTTCCATCACATAAAAGTGATCGATGAATTCAGAGAACATTGAAGAAATAGCTACGTGGGTATGCTTCAGAGCTTTTGGACCTGCTATGTTCTTTAGAACTGCGTCCAAAGGTCAGTATACCATACACACAAGTCAGATTTCGTTGTAAAGCCCGATGAGTATAGTGTCCTTGAAATAGATTTAAGATGTTTACAGGTCTTTTTATTAGACCATATAGTTCCAGTGGCTTAAACACATAAACATACATGCATCTATCAACGTAAAATGTATGCAAGATAATTTCTGTGAACAAATTGTACCCTTAGGATGCGGTGACGAAGGCTGTAGGTCCTTGTATCATCTACTCCTTAAATGTAAATCTTCTATACATCTTAATTTACAGAATATATAGATCTATAATGGCATTTTTGATGTGTCATGAAATCATCTTGACAACTTGTGAAAACCAAAGAGTGAACAAAGCAAATGTGAAAGGCTCTAGAGCTTTAAATGACTTTCACCACACAAGCTTTTAATACTGGAACAAACAAAGTTAGTAGCAAGTCAGAGTTTCACTTTGTAGAGTATACCAAAGATGTATATTTGCACATGGGGCGTATTCCCTGCAATAAAATTACTAGTGCAAATATTACTAATGGCTAATATATAAATTTCAAAAAATAGTAGCCAAAGTGAATAAATGAAACTAAATAACGCTTCAAGACAAGAAATAGATCTTGTCATACCAGAAAGGTAACTCGACTACAAAGTGCGATCAATAAATTAAAAAAAGTTTCATTACGACATTGGAATCAAGCTAAATGATTAGAACAAATTTTTTTATTAATTGAGTACTAATTACGGTGTTATAAAACCCTAGTCAACAAAAGAGTAAGCTAAATTATAAAAAAAGCATCGCTCGCCTAAAATCAGACAGCGTAAATCAAAAAGAAAAGTGATTTTTTGAACTAGCAGATAATCAATATCAAGCGAAATATTATGCATAAGGAACCCTGATAAGATTAAATGTTTGAGGATACAATAATAGAAGCCTTACTATCATAAAATTCAAGTAAACACAGTAATATAAAATCATAAATTATATTTCTCGTATTATACTTAGGAGGGATACTAAAAGAGATAAAGGTGTTTGCAAGCTGAAGGTAGTATTTTCATCAAAGC